CCACCTTGTAAGGCCCAGTGTACATTAAAATTAGAATATCGCGTTCAAATTTCGCGCTATAAATAGACCATAGGTTAGCTAGAAAATTACGTTTTTCGTACAAATCTAAGGTAATACTTACTTGATTCGGAAGCATGTAATTATCTTTACCACCTTTTAATGTACATTGGACATTTAACGCTTTTCCCATTGTAGTTTACTTTGTCTTTGTAGGTTAAGGTATCTCTAACAAGCAAGACAGGCTTATGACTATAAACTCCAGTGTTCTTGTCTTTCAATTACTTAAATAAGAATGGAAATAAACTTACTTACTATTGGTGAACCCAATAATAACGCATACACTCACATAGATATACACATCCTTTCCTTTCCTTAGAGGAGACCCGTGCTAAGCAGCGGCTCGAATATGAATTGAAACAAAAAAAGAAAAGATAAATATCGAGTTTTTGAGTTTCCGCGATTGTTACACATAGGAAATGAAACAATTAGTCAGGATCTTTTAGTAGTAGAGCTCCTTGTGAAAGAGTGCGTCCAGCGAAGTACTGCCACCTTACCTATTTCTGCCGCCAAGCAGTAATATCAGCATTACTGTGTTCCGATTTTGAAGGGTAAGGGTGCTGGTGAAATTACAGGCACATGAGACTTGTCAACTTATGTCTCATGGTGACGGGCGCAGTGGCAGTGCCCCTTACATCTTCGCGATCTGAAGCTCTGAGTGGCACCGCAACTGTTAAGGACAGGCGCACGACTTATTCATCTCGTCACTTGATATTATATAAAACAATCAAAATCGCGTATATTTGTTTTTTTTTTTCAAACAAACCAACGCTTCGGTCCCTTTATAGGGCCCATAGTCCAATCAACCGTGACATGTAAAGGGCCCGAAACGTTGATTTCTTTGAAAAAACAAATACACGCGATTTATATCTGAAAAAATAATTTTTATTTTATTATTCGGTCTTAGGTAAAAAATATATATGTTAATAACATTACTCAGCCTATCGGATACAAAAATATTTCATCAACTGACCTTACTACCATACAATACAGATACTCTTTATCGTACACAATCAAATATAAAACTAAACACAAGACAAAAGACATGCTATAACAGATGACCTTATTGGCAGATAGCAATCTCATCTAAGCAACCTCGGGGTGACAGAATAAACTTAAAAAACAAAATTGGAAATCAAACCATTGTTTCCGGATATCAATCGTGTATTTTTTTGTGTTTATATTACGCGATTATACTCCAACATTTGTGAACCGATTTGAATGATTGTTTTTTGTTGGAAAGAGGATAGTTCATTAATAGGCTCATTCAAATTTAAAGAAAGTATTCCAACATCTAGCGAAAAATAGCAAATTAAGGAATGAATCCATCCGGTTTATTACATTTCACCCATTTTCCGTTGATCGTTTTCAATAAAACTTAGCCAAAAAGATGTAATTTCGAAAACTTCTTTGAATTCAAAAGTAATAATAGCGTCGAAACGTTTGTTATCCATTTCTATCATTAAATATTACCAAACAAACCAACATTCCGGGGTCTTTAGAGGTCCCATGGACACGGTTAACTAAGATTTGAGTAAATACAGAAAAAAATGTATAATTAATAAATAGTATTTATTTATGAGAGGGTGTACGTGTGGCGCACTATAAGTTTCCGGAATAAATAAGAAAAAAATACTATAAATGGACAGAAATGAATTTATTGTTTCTCAAAATATTCTCCGTTAGCGTTAATGCATTTTTTCATATGATTGAACCAATTTTGAAAACATGTATGCCACTTCTCTGTGACAATTTCTGAAACATATTTTTCATACTCTTCGACAGCCTCTTCAGGCTATGAAAATCGTTGACCGCGTAACTGGTTCTTACTTTTTGGAAATAAATAAAAGTTCACCTTCAAAAATTCATTTCTCTGTCTGGCCGTGTGAGAACTGGCATTATTGTGGTGCAAGATGATATGACGTTTACAGTTATTTTTACGGAGTGTCAATAACTCCCGGCAAACAAATGGTTGTGTACCAATCACTATTCACGGTACAACGATTCTCCAAAGCAACAGTAGCCACGTGTCCAGTTTTATTAAAAATAGAAGCAATCATCCGCTTAGAGGCACTTTCCACGCGCGCCACTTTGGTTGGTTTTGGCTCGTCTCGAAAGACCCATACCCTCGATTGCTCCTTTGTTTTGGGATCGTAACTATAAATCCATGTTTCGTCACCTGTTACATATACCACACCAAATTTGACGCCCCTTCGTTGAATATGGTAAGCACGGCATTGCACCAATTGACACGACCCGTTTTTTGAGCCTCAGTCAAATTGTGTGGGATCCACCGAGAGAACAGCTTTTTCACACCCAAGTGTTTGTGTAGTATTGATTGTATTTGACTCATGCCTATACCTGGATCTCATGATATGTCACATGCATCACAGTTTTGATCATACGGCGCACAGCATCGATGTTACTGTAGTTCACAGAAGTGGGACGGGCGATCATCACGAAATTCGTCACTGAGATTCACACGACCGCGTTTGAATTCTGCAGAAGAGATTCTTATTGCCATTAGGTATCTTATTACTTCAAAATTATTATAATGAAGTAATTATTTAACTTTGATATTATCGGTACTTTTTTATCATTAATTTTCTCTCCCTAATTTTGGTGGCAAATCGAGTAAATTGACGTGAAATGTTAAATAATATTTCAGGTTACTACACTCGAATATTACTGTATACATCATGATAATATTCTACAATAATTAAATAATTGAAATTGATACCGAAATTAGATAAAGAAAATTATCATGATAATTACTCATGAATATATCAGTATCCGTAACGAGGGGTGAATATTTTAATTATGCTGCTAAGCAAGATGTTCTGTTCAATAACAATTAAAGTCATGGCACCAATGATCGACATTTTAAGAGAAGTGTGTCTTTAAATTTGAATAGCTCTTTTGTTTTTAAACATAATTCGCACCCCTCATGGAAGAAAGGCAGAAGGGATGTTACGTCAAAAATGTTTATTACTCCATTGAATACAGAAAAATATAACCCACATCCTCTCCAATTCTTTTAATTCTAACTTATATTTTTCTGTATCTAATGGAGCAATACACATTTTTGACGTAACTTCATTTATGCCATTGTTTCATGAGAGGTTCAATATATCAAAAGTGATCAGTGTACTTGACAGATATAATCGGGAAATATTATGCTGTAATGTGTTTCAAGAAAAAGCTATCATAATTATTACTAAAAAAAATTAAAACTGGAATTTCTCTATCTAAATCTCCAATAATGAACACCCAATCATTGACCTCACCTATACAAAACGTGTTAGTATGTAGAAAATGTTGTCCTAAATCTTCATCATCAGCCTATATTACAATTATATAATTATTTACTGGATATAAGCTCGCCAACTCTTAAAAATTAATTCAATTTATTAGAAATTGATTTAAAAAATTTAAAAAAAGATGACGAACACTGGTGCTTGTCCATCACAGGCACCACTACTACCGAAAAAGATTTTTTTCTTATACTTGGGCTAAAGGTACAAGAAACTACGCCCGGACGGAATGACTCTCATCCCTTGGAGTATGGGCCGGGCACTGGTATGGGACGCCACGTGTTAATCTCCAGCACGCCAGCAAGTGGGCTGGCTCCGCAGCCGACCTGGCGGAAAGAATAAAAAGTAATAAGTACCAAGAGCTCGGTTCCGACTACCTATTTACAGCCTTTGGAATCGAAACCCTTGGGCACATATATTGAAAGCACATATTTCTCCCGGCCCAGGAATCGAATCTGGAGCCTCTGCGTGGCAATCCGGCATGGTAACCGCACGGCCGAGGCAGTTAAATGTTATATGTTTTTTACATATTTTACGTACGTGTATGTTACGCGATAACTCCGGCAAAGGGGAACCGATTTCGATTATTCTTTTTTTGTTGGAATGAGGGTAGGTACCTCAGTCCCATTTATTTGAAGAAAATATTCCACCTATAAGGGCGGCAAACTAGGGGATTAATCCAGTTTCGCGCACTTTCCGTTAACCGATTTCAATAAAACTAGGCAAATACATATAATTCCACGAACTTTTGAGGTCAGCTTTTTAGTACTCTATACATTGACTTACAGTTATATGGACGTCGGGTCCGCGCTAAAGTGTCTGAACTTATAGGGCGTTAAAATCGTATACAGAGCGTCATTCACGCTTTAGTCTTCGTTTGTTCGACTGACAGCGAAGCAAGTAAAATTAGACAGTACTGCGATGACATTACAATTTAAATTCAACGTTTTAGCTTTTTCATATTCCTTTACATGTCACTACGTTTAAATAGGTTGACTTGGGAAATTTTTTCGTGGTTTTTGTATTAGACCCGTCGTCCATTTATTTGTAAGCCAATGACTCTATACTAAAAATATTCATCATTAGAATACGTATTTAGGTCCTTATATAGGCCGGCATGGTACACGTTCGACCACGGAGGCAGTTGAGTCTAGGGCACTTTCCAGAACACCCAGACCACAACCAATTTAGAAAACCTCGTTTCCTAATTTGATCCTGCTGGCAGTCGAATCCGGGACCTCCTCATCCACATAAACTGTTGGGCTACCGACATCGTCATTAGACCATCGTTAAACCAGGTGATTTCTAGTATTAAACAATGGTTATCGTAAAATATTATGTCCTAAATGTTAACTATTGTTTGGCTTCTAAACTTATATTACAAGCGGCTTTATATCCTATTTAATGTTTTTACAATATTTTTAATGCATTTTGCAGTTGGGTAACAAAAATCGCCGTCACACCGCGCCAATCGATTCGTCAAGGCAGACAGGGTCAAAAGTGGACCTACTTTCCTCCAAGAAGGTCGGATTATTGAAATAAGAACAACAAAGTTTCTCCAAATTCTTATAATTATAATTCATCTTTTTATTACAATAGTTTATTAACTATTACCAAACATTCAATACGATCGTTCATAACGTTTAAATTGCAAGCAGTTACGTATGCTCTAAATAAGAAAAAAAATAAATACAACAGACCACGAAAGTAGAGTTACGCAACTCGGAACACATTCACCTTCTATCTACATTCTACATCACAACAAAAATCTTAAAAGTAACATTAAAAAAACTACGAAAAGTAACATGACATGGCGCGACTGACTTAAGTTAATAATGACTTATTTTTTAGTAAAAAATGTATTGAAAGGTTAGTACCGCCATAACGCATCGTGGTGAATAGTTTTGAAGTGCAATTCGATCTCAGTGCGGACGGAAACCGGCGTGGTATCATTCCACTGCCTTTTACTTAAGTTTTAAGCACATGGAAGCATGCGTTCGTTCCATTCGCATTTGCCTTGCGTAATAATAATCTGTTCACGCTCTGTTATCCGCCGTAAAAGTAATGTCGGCCGATCTTCACAATCCAGATGATGATAGAGTCTACGATCGCTCTGAATGTCGATTTTGTTATATAGTTTTGTGCACACAACTCTGACACAGTTTCGACGAAAACTCGACCACGACGCGTGCGCGCATCACGACGTAATAAATAACGCAAATTACAAATAAATAACTCTAATAAATTACAATTTAACACAAGTTAAACAAAACACAGCTGTCTGTGACTTAAAACTAAATGAGCTCATCACATATTTTTCATATTATACAGATAAAATCGGAAGGTCCATAATAATAATACCGACGACAAACTTAACGTCTTATCTACGATCACGTTAAGTTACGAGGAAACAATTGAGCCGCTCTGCGTGGCGCGGATATATTCTGAAAACTCAAAAAGAGTAAAGTAACTTAGTGAAACACGCGATCACGTAAACAATGAGCGGCGGCGTTTCCTCGTACGAAATAGATTAAAAAACTGCGGCGATCGTGAAAGGCAGTTATCCAACGCGATTAGAAAGGAGTTACGGTCGGCAGGCGCGGGCGCTTTCTAGCGCGAATAGAGCGCGAGGTCCGAGATGCGGCGCTGGCGCGCGGCGGCGTGGAAGCCGCGCGTGCCGTCGGGGCCGGCGGGCGCTCGCGGCTCGAAGCGCGGCGCGCACGACAGCCGTCGGCCCCCGCCGCACTCGGTGCCCGACAGGGAACAGCCCGATAGCCGTCGCGACAGCCAGCCGTCCGCGCTGCTGCTGCTGCCCGTGCTGGCCTGCGACGCGCGCCGCGACCCGCCGCAGTAGAACGACACGCCCGAATCGGAGCTGTGGCTGCAAGTGGACGGCCGCCGGGGCACCCACGTCTGGATCTCGGGCGAGCGCGGTGCGAAGAACCCGCTCGAGTTCCGCCTATAGAATGGGTTAGCGTATCGGTAGTCATACTCCGCCTCGGAGCCGCTGCAACATGAGGAATACTCGCACTCGTGTCGACGCGGTGGCGCGCGTCTGATCGGCGCTTTTCTCTTCGGCTCCTTCGGCACTCCGTTCAATTCGTACACTTTCATTCCGGTCTCGTCGACGCTCTGGAGGCGCAGCGCCTCCCTCGCGGCCTCAGACTCCGTAAACTCGACTAGGGCACATACACAATTGACCAAACTAGGGTTCTTGTTTAGAAACTGCCGCACGTCGGCCGGGACCGGGTTTCCGGGCCGTAGTACGCGAACTAGAGCGATTTCACCGCAACTAGCAAACAATCTCGACACATTTTCGACCGACGGACGATCGATTGGCATCCTGACGGCGACAACGGTTCTGGACGGGGTCGTTTCATCGTAGGCCGGCAAGGGGTCCACTCGGCGCAGCTTGGTTCCGGCCTCGTTGATTTCTAGCTTTGTGGACCTCTTGAGCGCCTCGGCGACGACCCGCCAATCCTTGGTAAGGTGCTTGACTCGCTTAAAGCTGGAGATAAGCTTCAGGGAGACGTAGCCCTCTTTGTTGCGCCGAACGTGCTTGAGAAGGAAAGCATCCTTAGTAATGTTAGCGTCCGAAAAGTAAAACTCTACTTGAGAGACGATCCTGTCGGCGAGTTCGTCATCAGGAGGAGTATAAGGGGGCTCATTGGCCTCGGCAGCGACTTCGCAGCCGGAGTCCTTGCCGCCGCCGGACCCGGCATCAGACGCGGAATCGGAGAGGTCTGCGTGCTCATCGGTAGAGGGGCGACGATCGGTGGCGATGCCCTCATCTTCGGGTAGCGGGGAACCCTCCATAGTGCGACGCCGAACAAGGCTTATAGCATGAGAAGCGAGAGGCGCGTGCCTCGCTCGGTGGCGCGGGTCTAACTGCGGGCGCGCGGCCACATCACGCGCGTTATATCACGTCGGTCGCGACACACACGACCGGTAAAAGGGGAGTTCGGAAACGATGGCATTGCAGACGCGGTGACGCGCAGGTTCACTGATAAAGCCTAGAGGTTACCGCACATAAATATGCTCTACATATGGTAACGCATTCGAAACTAGGTGTAGTCCCACGCGTTACATTGTGCTTTTGTTGTCATAGGAAGCTATTATATGTTGCTATCCACGTATAAATCACGATCTGTAATCCAAACTAATATTTTAAATGGGAAAGTTACTCCGATGCAATTTCGATGAATTTTGAGATGAGATAGATGGGACCTAGTAGAATGACACAGGGTACTTTTTGTCACAAAAATAAATCTTAAAGGTGGTGAAATAGGGAATAAATGTTTGTATGGAGAACCAATAAAAGTTTGAAAATTTGTATATTGCCTTAACTGAGTACATAAAATGATATGCACAGATCTTTCCAAACTAGAAAACCAGATTAATAAAGTAAACCAAAGAGATCCTCTTTTGGAGAACAATGGTGCAATGCAACAGTTGTTATCGTTCTAGAAGTACCATCAACTACCATATAATTACTCAAAACTGTGTTAATAAAAATAAAAGCAACAAAGCTATGCGTGCAGCATGCTTACTGATAGCTCGTATCACGCTCCAGATTACGTATTTCAATAATTGTTATATACTATAAATTACAAATGATTGTCTTTTGTTTACTTTGGTATTCAATTTATTTACACTCAATATAGTTTCGTGTCTATCTTTTTTATATGGGACTAGAGTAACCATTGAAAGATGCCTTCATTTGAATTTATTAAAGTGGAGGGACATTGTAATTTTATTTTAATTGGACATACATTATCTAGGTGTGTATACCACATCGTCGCCCTCATCATCACTTTCCATTAGGTGAGATGGAGGTCAAATGCACGCTTATTTTTAATAAAAAAACTATACAATTTGAAAATATTTTGTTTATAAATACCATGGCTCTTGTATCACAAGGAAAAAAATCAACTTTACAAGGAGACGCGAACAATAGTTAAAGCTTAATATGACATTCCTTTTCACTAGAACCACAGAATATGTCCATGAGTGTAACTTAAACCTGTTGAACACGTTCTTCCTGAAGGAATGTAAAAAAACTGCACAAAACTATAAGCAGACAGAGAATTCTATGAAATTCTGAAAGATAAACAGCTGTAACATAAACATTATATAAATAAACTTACACATGAATGATATTGCAGCGGATGCAGCGTATAATATACTCTTAGACTGCATTAAATTGAATCTATTTTTGTAAGGCCGTGCTCTTATCAAGGTTTAACGTCCTACTTTTCGTCAGCTGGAATTCTCAATGCCAGGCTTATCATGAAAACCTTGTTTACATATTCTATTACCCAAATACACAATAATAGTTACGAAATACTAGTCTGCTGTTCCGTGCGTACAGACCATGCCGGATTGCCACGCAGAGGTCCCGGGTTCGATTCCCGGGCCTGGAGAAATATTTATAATTATCCTACATTTATTTATCTCACGACACCCGCGACATAGGGTTTCCCTAGTGCGCGGCTGAGGGAAAAAAAAATTATTTCAGTTGCGTGTCTATTTCGTTCGATATCGAAAAAGAATTTGTAATATTTGTTTTTAACCAATTTCAAGATAAGGAGAATGTTCTTAATTGTACTGCATTTTTACTTCGACATTTGTGAACCGTTTTCATTGGTTTTTTTTTGTTCGAAAAGGGGTACCTTAGTAGTGATGCCATTCAAATATTTGAAGACACATCTAAGTATGGCAAATTAGCGGATAAATCAAACTTACTGTATTTTAATAACACTTGGCAAATTG